AAAAGGTATGGCTTTAAATTTAGAGTCGGCATTTTTGGAGTGCTTGTCTTTTGAAGTTTTTAAAGCTAATTTTTAGGTATCTAAGATATTTCTCGTGTACTTCAGCTGATGTCAAGTGTTGAAGAAGTTCGATAACTTATGTATACAGACTAAACAAACCACGCGGGACAAGAGGGGAAAGATTCTTATTTTAGAAACTTGATCATTTCAAAATTATTACTAAGCATTTCTTGAAAAATCAACATTCCATTTATACCGGTAATATCCCACCGGTTTTTCAGTCGTGCTACAATTTACACCACATGACGTTGAATCGTAACGTCTCTGTCAAATGGGTGCGGCGGTGGAGAACTTCGTAAACGGACCGCCAATGCGTTCACACCCATGATTTTGTTTAAAATGACCGCTCCCATATTGAAAATATGAAAAGCAATAAGATGATAGAGATGAAGCCGCCAGATATGGCAAAAACAATGCGTCGCTGATTCCTTTTGTTCAATTCTTCGACATGGCTTTTTAAGTACGGATCTAACCCGATATCGAGGTCAGGGCGCATTCGGTACAGCTCTGCTTTCTCTTCACTGGTCAGGCGACTGTACGATCCACAAGGTGTAAGAGTAAGTCCTATGGATCACACACTTTGCTTGTCCTTAGCACCACAACCGTACCGTGGTTCTCGTCCAATCGAAGACGTACTAGCATAAAAACTCTGCGCTGCTTGATGGTGTACATGGTCTAGTACAAACTCAACCGATGCACATTTCCTCAGACCGCTGCCTAACGAAGTCTTACTTGCACTCATACGTAATATCGAGTGTCGAAGTTGCATTGAACCATACTTCTGTGGATCTACTCCGGCGTGTACGATGTGGCCAGAGGATCGAGAATTTCCGGCCAGCAAAGCCGTTGTGACACCGTCAGGAGCGCGTAGATTGGACGTCAAGCGCCCCTTTTTCGTAGCCATTAGTGCAGCGGACTCATTTATGACGCTAACTGTGTCAGAATTCGTGGGCATCCAAGGCCCGACTTCAATTTTGGGTCGATGTTGCATAACTGTGTTAGCTGGCTGACGCAGCGAGGTTTTCATGAGAAGAACGCTCTCCTGCACGCTTGAAACACTGTTCCTTTCGATGTTCTCTTGCTCAGGTTCATCGATATCAAAGTGTAGATCATTCACTGGCAGTGTGGCATGCCGCCCTGCCATAGCAGCAAAGAGCGATACCCAAAAAAAAAGTAAAAAAAAAGCTCAAATACCAGTACATATACCGGTAAAGCTCAACATATGGCCCAAGGTCATAAATTTAAACACTATCAATTTGTTGGCATCGCCATGCGCCTTATCACCCACAACTTGCTCATGTGCAACAAAAAGGGTGTTGAAAATGGATATCCTCTGATGATTGAGGCTGAAGAGGTCGAAGTCGTAGCCTGCGATTTTCAAGCTGCTTTCGTGCGCAAGATGTTGTCGAAGCTAGACTGGAGCGCGTTCCTGACTGGTGCCAAAGCGCTGAAGCTCGCGGACGGCCTCCCGGACACTTTACCTAGCGCTGAAGAAGGCGATTCGGACGAAGAGATTCTCCGCAAAATTCACCATGTGCTGTTAGAGGTGCATGTAAAACACGGAAAGCTTGTGTGCCCCGAGTCAGGTCGTGTCTTCCCCATCATCGATGGCATCCCAAATATGCTGCTGAACGAGGACGAGGTGTAGAAATAGTATTTACACTGATAGATACGTGCAAATTATACGTAAATAATGGTGACCTTGTTGCATCTATCCGATTTACGCTGTCTCCATTATCTCTGTCCAACAAACACAGAGCGTTCAATGACGCTTTATATGACCAAATCTGCAGGCTTCCGAAAGTAGTCGGCACTAGAGTGATCGAATCTTAAATAGAGAAACAAAGACTTAGCACCGCTTTCTTTTAATGCATTCTGGCCGTACTCACCGGTCATCATCGTTGTTATGATCTTTGTCCTTGTCTGACGACTTCAATTGTGCAACTGCCTTTATCCATTGAATTCGAAGCTCAAATTCACCTTCTCTCTGATCAGCGATTGCAAAGCCAATCTGAATGATACATAACGCAATTACTTCACAGCTTCGGTGACAAAAAGAGTTGGCAGCTTTTACACTTTTGAGCTTAGAAGGATCAAGTTTGGTCTCATCGGTAATTTTCACGAATCCTTTGGCCGTAAGCAAGAAATTGCGAAACGGCAGCTTGAACAAATAATGCACTTTTCTTAGCGATATTAGGTATAACGCAATCACACAACTATCACGTACATCTATATCCACCCACTCATTGGGTGGCGTCCGAATAAAGCCAATAAACAGATTAAATGGGTTCCAACTCTCCATTTGAATGTTCATGCGGTATTCGCGACCGTCTGTCATAATTCGCATACTTATGCCTTCATATCCGTGCAAGAGCAAATCTGACGATGTAGAGGCGCGTACTGCGCAGTAACCACTTCGAATTACACCCGCTTCCGTTGGTTGGCAATCCATACTCAAGTTTCCAGTGAAAACCGCTACACAGAACAAAATTTTGGGTTAAACATCAACTGAATGGTGAACGTGCTCGTTTTGCGCACCTGATGCTATACGATCCTGTTTTTTAACGTTTTGTATGAATATTTTTGAGGCTTTGTCATCTGAAGCTTTCATTGGCTCTTCACCTGTATAGAATCCCCATTTGCACTTCGACAATCCTGCAAACAATACGACCAGCATGAGTATAACTCGGGCTACAATCTGCTTATTCTATGAGATCCATTTTTATAGCACCGCCGATGGATTTATCGCTGGAAGCAGTCCACTCTGCGACAGACTCCTTAGCATCAAATAAGAAAATGTTTTTCTCGGGTTGCAATTTGAGCTGGATACCGAGCGCTGTCGATGAGATGATAACGCAACATTTCAGTCATATCCGTGAGCCATCATTAAGCATGAAAATGATGTCGTACACTGCTTTGAGTTGAGAATTGTTGCGTTCATTGACGTCAACGCCTTCCGCCAGAGTCCCATAGTTTTTATCTTTGTGATTGTCAAGCTTAATCCAACGCTGCCTAACAAAATATTGTTTTTCTGCCAATCAAATGTCACAACAATAACGTCGATCGTCGTCATGAGTCTCCACCTACCTAAGCATCACTGGGGTACTCGGGGCATGGATGCCTATGAGAAACTCGAGTGTATTGGTGCGGGGACCTACGGGTAAAGTGTTGACTTTTGTTTCAAGTACAGCTGATTGCTTACAATCGTCCAAAACGTGTTTGTCTATGTATTGATCTAGTCAAGTGTATATGGCCAAGGATAAAGCGACGGGAAACGTCGTAGCTATCAAGAAAATTCGTAGTCTAAATGAGGTCCAAGGGGTAAGTTGGGAAATATATGCGTCGATAATTTTGCTTATGATGGCTTGTAGCTGCCAGTGACCACGATTCGGGAAATTAAAGTTCTTAAATGCCTTAACCATCCTAGCATTGTGGACATGAAAGAAGTGGTAGTCTCATCCGAGAATGACGATGACGATGGTGAAATACAATCTACTCAATCACAGCAAACTTGTAGCTAATTTAAGTTTGCTTTGCAGCCGAGTTTACAGAGAAAGATGAACCGCTTGATTATTGTCATGGATCTATTTACTTGGTGTTGGAGTACCTAGAACACGACTTGACAGGTTTAATTGACCGTCAGCACTTGTGAGTTGAAAGAAATTATGATCTTTGGAGATAATTAATAAGCCACGAAATTAATATTTTGATCTGTCACAGTTTTGATGATACCGAGATCAAGTGCTTGATGAAGCAATTGCTAGAAGTTATGAAATATATGCATTCTATCGACATTATTCATCGGTACGGGGATAGTATTCAACCATGTCGAATTAAGAACTGACACACACTTTTTCTTGTTTGCAGAGATATTAAATGTTCTAATCTTTTAATGACGAGGGATCACTTGCTAAAGGTAGCAGACTTTGGCTTAGCGCGCTCTTTGCGTGGAGACCAGCTTTTTACCAACAAAGTGGTCACACTGTGGTACCGCCCACCAGAGCTGCTTCTTGGTGCTACAAGCTATGATGCTAGTATTGACATGTGGAGTATTGGTTGCGTGTTTGCTGAATTATATATCGGTCATCCCATATTTCAAGGCAAGACAGAACTTGAGCAAATAACGAAGATCTTCGACATTTGCGGAACCCCAACAACCGAGTCGTGGCCAGATTACAAGTTTCTGACACATAGTAGCACGTTTGTCCCTGACAAACCAAAACCTAAGCGTTTGCGTGAACATTTAATGCGCGAAACTTCAGCAAGAAAGAGAATCTTGCCAAAAGGGGCTCTAGAGTTGATTGAGGCGCTTCTCGTTCTGGACCCGGAACAGCGTCTAACTGCAGGTGACTGCCTTAAAACGCTGTACTTTCAAGCTCGTCCTTATGCTCCGGATGATCCAAGGAAGCTTCCTCCAATCACAAATCTTCCTCCGTCTCACGAATACCAGACGAAAAAAATTCGGCGCGAGCAGGCCAAACAGCAAAACAGTGGAGCTATAAGTAGTCACAATAACGTTGGAGTCAGTAGTGGACGAGCATCACGACCAAATAGTCCACTCAGATCAAGCGGTGGAGGTCGTTCAAGACAAAGTCATCCGAGAGAAAGAGACAGCACAGAAGTGTCGGTGAAAACCGAAATGAAGAGAGAGGAAGACCAGTCATTATCCGCCAAAAAACGGCGACGACTAGCATAGCACATACAAACAAATTGTTTTATAAGAAACATCTTGTACTGCTTCAAATATACGTGAATGAGAAAAAGGGGGGCATAATCTCGTTTGATTGCATTATTATTAAAGCGTTAACGAGTTGAAGGCTGTTGTCAGTGAGTGAGAAAGCGAGCTCGAGACGACGGCGATGGAATAGACTTCTGCAGCTAATTTGTACATGGAAGTGTCAGCTGCAAGTCAGCAATGGAGAGTAAAAGTAATGTCTTGCCTGCAACAACAGCGATGGATTCTTGGTCTTGACGATGCTGTTAACTTCCTACAGCCAATATAAAATTCATGTTGGCTGACATCATACCCATTGCAAACAAAACATACATGAAGCCGCGTCTGCAGCACTTGAAGACGTGACTTCATAGAAGTGTAACGAAAGCTAATGTGCTGACGAATGGAATCCTCGCATGCACGAATAAAGTCAACCGAGAGCAGCTCAATAAATTTGTACTCCATGTTCTGAATAAAGTCAAGTCGTGCTCGGCCATCAGCTTGCATAAGATACACTGCGAGGTGGTTGTGAGGTTCTTTAATACAATTATTTAGCATTCGAATTAGCACGTTGGCGTAGTCCGTGAAGTCCACCATAAGCTTCTGTTGTTGTTGCATCGCTTGGAAGCCTTCCAAATCGCACGTGTGGGTATACAAGAAAAAGAGATCGCTTTCAGTAGAGAGCTCTACTCGAACTACGTGAATATCCGTGTCAATTCCCTTTGCAACACATCAAACCAAACTAACGTGAGCAAACTTTGCAAATAATAAATTATACATTCATGAGCATACCATGACCAGGATTTTAACTTTGATGGCTTCAAGAGTTCCAATTTGTTGAGGTGTATTGTCGGCACCCTGTTTCCACAAAAATGACAATCAATATGGAATAGACATCAACCATATTTGATATCATATTGTGACCTGGATTCGGAGCTCAAATGGTGTTTCTCGATCGTAGATCACTCGAAAGCCACCAGCTAAAGCATCAATGAGAAAGTCAGTATACAGTTGAAGAGAGCAAAGAACATCACACAGACATACCCAAACTCGGATCCAAGTTGTCGGTAGTGCTCATTGGAACATGAGAGTCACCACCACCCACATCCACAAGTCTAGACGAACCGACCAAAGAAGAACTCATAGCCATGTCTAGACGTGTGAAAAGGACCTTGTCGCTCTGAGTGTGCGTCGGTCGTTTTGTTTTGGTAAGCAAAGGGTGACCCCACGCATGTCATTCCCGATCGCTATAAATACAAACTTGATACGAAAATGGATCAAATGCGCTTTGACACTCAATGCACTGAGTAGTTCTAACGCTGAAAGTTTTGCATTGCTGTGTCGTTAAGATGACGCGAATGTTGTCTCCAAGCCGTGCATGCAGCATTGGCCCATTCAATATAGCGGACAGTGGTTTTGGTAAATTCGAGATACGAGACAATGAAGATGGCGAAGCTATCACGCTAGACAATTTTGACGAGACTGATGCAATGGCCGACCCCATTTTGAACAGTCCCCGTTCCATCGAGGTACAGCTATTATGCATACTCTCTAGTTGTTTATTATAGACTAAGTGTGCATTGTGGTCAGGCTTGTCGGATGCTTGGTCTCGAGTTTAGCGAACTTATTTTTCATCCGCTCGAGTACTTTCTTAGCTCTTCAAAAGGTTTTTGTAGGACGCTGGAAGATCGAGAATTTGCCGCCAAACGAGCAGCGAGGTATGAGAAAAATCGTCAAATTCAGCTTCGCAATGTGCGCGCGCAACGCCACGAGCTAATTGAGGCTCAGCTTCAAAAGCTTCAAGGCCTCATGTCGCTTAAAACGCGCACCTTTTGTCGCTCTCCAGTGGGTGCTGCTCGTTTGGGCTTTGGAATCACGCCGAAATGTTGCTCAACCGAAGCGCAAGCATTGACTGTGATTGAACGAGAAAAGCGAGAACTTGAGCGAATACAACAGCGTCAAGCGCTGGAAGTCCAGCAAATGCTCAATTTTGAATATAAGTTGACGGAGCTACAACAAGAGCGTGAGAGGAAGGAAATAGAGCAAAAGCGACGAGAGGAATTACTTGTTATGGAGCGTATACAAAGACAGCGAGAGGTTGATGAATTAAAACGTCGTCGAGAGATTGAAAGAGCAGAGCAGCATCGTCAAGAGCTCCAGGTGGCTAAACAACAAGCTCTTGAGCAGCGGAGAGACTTAAGGAGACGTGAGCAACGTGCAAAGCAAGAAGAAGCTCGTCGGCTGCGTGATGCGCAGCTCAGTGAAAGAGAACGCCAGCGTCATCACGAAGAAGCTCGAAAGCAAAATGAGATGTTTCATGTCGCTCAAGCGAGAGAAGCGGCTCGAAAATCGCTTGAAATGCAAGAGCGGGAAGCGCGACTTGAGCAAGAGCGAGAGCGACACAGGCAATTGAAAGCACGAGAATTAGCTGAAAAACAGGCTCGAAACTCGGCACGGATCGCTAATGTGCTGCACGAAAAAGACTTGCAACGCTCAGCTCAGCTTGAAGAAGCAGCTCGTAAACAACAACTCATTGACGAACGTCGTCAAGCACTTGAATACGAGCGGAGGATGAAAGAGGAGGAAGGACGACTCCAAGGACTTCGAAAAAAAGAAGCTATAGAAGGTGTTCAGCGCCAGTTAGCAATGATTGAAGAAAAGCGTCGAGAGCAGCTTCAAGAGAAAGAGCGACTGGCTCAGCTACGGCTGGTGCAGCGTGAATATGAAAAAGAACAGCATTTAAAAGCCCAACAGCGGGAAGAGCGGCGATTGGAACGGGAACGTCGGAGTGCATACGAGCGCATGGAAGCGCATCTTCACGAGAAGCAAGCTGCTGTACTTCGAAAGACAAAAATGAAGGCCATGGCAGCGCAGAGGATGCAAGAGTATAAGCATGCATCTGTGCGAGCTAGACTGCAAGATGCTAAATTACGCGAAGAAGAGATTCAGAGCGCACTTCAGCGTAAGAATCGACAGGACGAATACCGTGCCAAGCTTCTGCTTTCTCGAATCGAGACGGACAATCATCGCATTGAGCATTTACAAGAGCAGCGTGCCAGTCTCATTCGTCGACGACAAGAGATCAAGCAAAGAGCTGGTCGTCAAAAGCATGAAATTCTCGAGAGTTTTTACAAGATGAAAGTGACCAAGAAATTGAACCTTCCTAAGCATATAAGGCTTAAGATAGGAATTGGACGGCCGCGTTCGGCTTCCGAAGCACTTTATCCAACGCAATCTTTGCAAACAGAAAGTAAAGGTGTTGAACGACCATCAGGAAATAGTAGGAGACCCATGAGTGCCGTAGCACGACGCTCTCGTTGTGCTACTATAAGTCGTCAACGTATTACTAGCCGTGAGCGACAGAATACATCAGACACAGACTCGTGTTGTGGCTCTCACAGCGCCGAGTCTGCAGAGGAATTTGTGAATTTCGCTGATGAAAAAATTATTGCTATGATTAACGATCTTCAAAGACGACAGAATGAAGAATTGCTGGAGGTTTTACAGGAAGAACATCATGCGGAAGAACAACGGGAGCATCTTTTGCACCAAGCATCTGCTGATCCACGTGAACGTGGACGAATAGAGAGACTGTTTGATATCGAACGAGGTTTAGCCAGTGAGCGCATCATGCAGATCACACACCGACATGAGTGCACGTTGGCAGCTATGATGCACGAGCTTCAGGCTATTTAGACGTCAGTAGCCCGCCGTTTTATCTTTTTTCAATCAATACGAAATGTTTATGATTTACTAAGTCCGATTATAAAGTATCTATACTGCTTGACGTGCGGCTCCCTCTCCTTTCACCATCTTTTACAAGCACCAAAGTATCGGTACTTCAAACCGTCTGTAAGCGCATTTCCGACTACATGCACCCTTGTATCTGTCATTAGCGCGGTGATACTGTAGTTCTTGCACAATCGTATAGAAGTGTAAGAAAATAGTACAGACAAACCCGTTACAATTTCCAATACCAAATTGTGGACCGCGAAAAGGATTTTTCTTTTTAAAACATTCCGCATATGTACACGACCGAAACATTCTCGTTGTCAGCGATCGCATGCATTGCGTGAAGGCAAGCTTACCAAAGTAGATTTCTGCGCGCTCACAACTTTTTGGAATGAGTATATGCTCCCCCGTCAGAATATGCCGTAGATCACTTCGGCGACAACGTCGAACTGCAACTTTGTTTGAAGTGCGTGAACTTCCACTCCATTCTTTGCCCTATACACTGACTTTTCTACGGCATATTCATTCCGGCTTAATCTCCCGCGAGTACATCACAAGGACTGATGGTCGAAGTTAAGGCGCTGTACACGCGACCGACGTCCTTTAAGCAATATTCGATGCAGTTGCTGAGGTGTTATCCGAAATGAGCGGTAGAAGTGACTCCGAGCAACTTCTATCTAAAATATCTTTAATTTTCATCCTGACACATACTGCAGCGGGGCTGCCATAGCTTTGCGGTTGAGGAAGCGTCTTTTGGTCACCGACCTTTCGTCCTTTACAAGAACAAAGTACTAGTGCAGCGGATTGCAATCCGCTGCCTCTAAAAGTACCTTAAAGCCTTAATCAAAGCGAACGAACACTTCTGTTCAAAATCGAGACTAATTTATATTTATATTTTTATCCTAATATTAAAAGTTGAGATTTCCCTAAATGTAGTATATATAGTAAAATCACTGGCTACCTGCCCCTAACCTCGTACCGTATTCTTGTTTGGGTGTGTGGTCACATTATTCACATCTCGTGTGACACCCCCCATGTTATTAGGGTTCGTGTAACCCCGTTACACCCTCCCCCATTAAGATTAGGAACATTTACAGTTCCAATCAATTATTGCCTCAACGAAACTCGCGTGTCCTTTAGACACTGCAACTCCATTTGTTGGAACAAACAACTTCCTTGCTCAATGAGCCATGTGTCAATGACACCAATATTTCCAAGTCTCGCCGGTTCTGACGGCGAGTATGGGTATAGCCCAACTTCATCTCCCGCACTCGGTGCAACGTCGGACAGAGCGTCCGCAGCACCGAGAGGTGTATATCCTAGGCTCAATGAGCACAAACGTCGCACTCCGCGCACGCTTTCAGTGCCGAGTGGCCTAGTTGAGGATGTGGTCGACTATGGGTCTGACACTCCTTTTCCCGCATGGGATGATGAGGAAGATGAGCTGTGCCAGTGGCGCGAAACGAGCCCTGCTCGTGTCTTGCGAACCCCATGTCCGCTCCCTGACTTCTCGTCAACTGAGGTACGTGATGTGATCATCAATGACCTCGACGGTAAACAAGGCGGCAGCTTGAAGTGCCCATAATGCGGCTCTAAAGCGCGCCCACCAACGGTTGGTCGTTGACCCTCGTGTGAAGTATGGTTTCCGCCCAGCGGATCCCGCTGTGGTAGCAAAGGACGCGGTAACTCGATCGTTACGCGTCCACATCATCCGGCCCCGGCCAGAGCATATAATGAACTTGCCACACGGAAAGCTCTTTGAGCTCGCTTCTTGATCCCACGATAGATTCCTCTAGAAACTTATCACACACATCTGAGTGTACAACGAGGCGGATCTCGTGTACCCGCAATGTGGACAATACCTGAAGTGCTCGCCCCTGGCAAAAGCGCTATAGACGATGAAGTGCAGTTTGAGCGATGGGTGCAAAGGCACCGGAACTTTCCTCACTGCATAACCTGCAGTTTAGCCACAAGGAAATGGACGTGCGTGTGGAGCGACACCTCTGATTTGAGTTTGCCAAACTCAAGGCACGCCG